ATCGATTACAACAGAGGAAACCAAATGTAACTCCCGTCCCTCCCATTTCCACCCAGATGAATCTCTCTCCAGAACTGGACAAACCCGAACCCCAGAGACCACCTTCCTCCCAATTTGTACCATATGTTAGGACAAAGGAGATCTACTATCTGGACCCTGATGCACCAATGTCAAGACCATCAACACATGACCCCCAGTACAAGCGGGCCGGTAAGATTACATTTGTTGCCTTTACAATGAATTCCAGAAGCAACAGCTAATATTCTAATTGTATTCAATGGTTTTCTGCCCCGTGCTTCATGATCAGTTCATTGTGTGTCCGGTGACACCTCGAGAATGTGCGGGGTTTTGAGCGAGTGTTGGCATGAACAATCTGTACTCCAGCCTTGGACAGTTGTACAACCTCCTCTAGTGTACTAGATTGCTTACTCTGGTTTTATTTCGCACAGCAAGCTTCTCACAAAGTGTGTAAAAAGCTGCAGCAAGTCATAGTACCCGCTTCATTCCCTGGCTGGAGGACTCTCACCTTGTGCAGTGGAAGGCATGTGGTGACCCACTGAACACAGGGTCACGACCCACTTTTAGGTCACGACCCACCAGTTGAGAACCAAGGCTTTAAAGCATTTTGATGCACACTGCTTGCTTAAGGGCAGATGACTGCTGAGGGGAGTACTGGAGCAAGGTGCAGTAATGTTTACAGAAAGTGATGTACATCACCCTGCCAGGCCCCATCTACCAGCCACGATCTTCCTGCATTGCAGAGACCCAGCGATGATGTCACTGGGCCTAAAATAAGGTGTGGCATGAAAATGGAAAGGGTTATTTAAGAATGTGATTAGCATAATGAAGAAGGGGAGGGAGGAACCAGGTAGGGCCAAATCTATTTAGATCAGGAGTTTTGACTTAACTGTCACTTCACTGGCTGCATACTTGTTGCAGGTCAGTGACTTGCAAAGTTCTTACACCACAGCCAGCAAGGCAGCTGTCATTTCAGGTTCCAGCGCTTCTATTCCTCTCACTAAATATTCCCTTACACTGTTTGTCTTAGTTACCCCGATGTTAAGGTTTATTATTTTCATATTCATACTCCTTAACCAACTCAATCAATGTCTGTCTGTGACCCCCTCTAGTTACATGATAAAGGTTCCTGTAGAACACAGAGCACAATGTGGGTCTGATGATGGTGAGCCTGCGCTTTCTTCTGCAGGAACTCCTGATTATCATAGGGATTAACAGAGGTCCACTGAAAGCCCTCAACAAGAACAGTGGAGCAATGGGCATAGGCTTGAAGGTCTGTGTTGGGGATGTCTACAGCTGCTGCATCAAATGGGCTCATTCGTCAAAATGCAATGCTTAAAAGAGGACTATGAGGTAACCTTTTTATCCCATAGTTCTCTTTAGGGTCACAGGAGGACACATACTAACGTCCTGCCATGACCTAAAGCTCAGTATATTGCGGGCTATGGCCAGCTATATACTGAGCACGCAGCAACCGGATCAGGTCCCGACAATACTGTCGAGATCCACCCAGCTGGCTGATTGACAGCTAGCTCTGCCTATCTAGAACCAGCTATGCCCGCCCCCTCCCCCGTCCGTTCCTCCACTCAGCGCTGGAGGATTGGAGAGGGGTAGCCGTGAGTGACGGTCACCGCTCACTGCAGGGAGATGATCTGGAAGTGAGCGATCGCCGGTATGTGTCTGTTCGCTCACTTCCCGATCTATAGATGTATAATAATTGTCACACGTCGGCTCTAACTATGAGGATGAGTGTAAATCAGTCACCTCATAGTTCTCCTTTAATACATGAGCAGGGTCAAAACAATGACAATAAGTGCTTGTGTGTAATAACCGTATAATGATCACACATTTAGTTGTCTGATTTTGGTTATTGCTTTCAGAACAAATATTGCTTTTCTTATTTTAGCTGGTGACCAAGAATCACGACAGATATTCAGCTCTGACCATGCCAGGGACCCCTTGCTGAATCCTAACGTCATCAGAAACAAGGATCGCCAGCAAGCAATACTGAGAGGGCTATCTGAGCTAAGGAAGGTTAGTAGAGGTTTTGTGCAACACTCCCCTGTGACATCATGTTCACAGATCTTCTACATTTTCACAGACAGTGACAAACATTGTGGGCCTACTAAATAATAGGTGAAGTGGTGCTGATGTACCAGAACACCCAAGAATTGTTATTTTGTACATACCGTAAAATCCTTTTTTTTGCAATCCATTTAGGGGCTCAGCAATCCAGATAGAGTTGGGTCACACTGCTGCCTACAGGAGGATTGGACCAGAGCAAGCATAAAATTAGGGATGCACCGAGTACCGATACTTTTCCTCAAGTACTCGCCGATGTCATGTGACAGTTTTTCTAAAACAATGCAGACTAATGATTTCGGGACCGTTTCTTTAGATTTATGAACTGTAACTCCAAAAACATTGTGGAAGAAATAAAATAAAAAAATGTATTTTCTTTTCACAAAGTTTTGAAAGCACAAGCAAATAAGGGGGTCCGGGGCACAGTGTTAAGGATATAGGGCCCCCTTCCTAGGCTTAGATTTGTAGTCCCTCAGACAGCTTGTAGTCATTGGAGGAGGAGGAGCAGCAGGGCCCAGTCACAGCTGTGACCGCTGCCATCCTGGTTGTTTTACCACTGACTCCAAGCTGCAGAGGGACTACAAATCTCCGCAATACATTATACAGCAATGCAGAATAATAGTATATGATTTTGCTACATACTCTGTGCTGTTGCTCTGCACTAAAGGTGCCGGCCTAATTTCTCATGGGGAGGGTCTCATGTGGAGGAGATGTGTGGGCCACTAGAAGCGCTGTGAAAACAGAGGCGCCGTGATTCCCAAGAAGGCTGCAGTGAGGTCCCCAGCATGTGCGGGACCTCAGACAGCTGCTTCAAAGCGCCGGTATCGGTTTTTGGTATCTGGGCATTTTGGCAAGTATCATCACCGATACTGGTATAGAGCTATAGCCGCCGGGAGTCTGTTTAAAGGGGCCCGCTGCCAGTGACGTATGTGATACGTCAGTGACAGCGAAAGGGTTAAACCTTTCCTATATATTTCTTGCCATTACCATGGCCCACCACCAGGAAACAACCCAGAATACATGTTCCTCCTCCTTACTTGTATCATCTGTTGCTTGTGTCCTTCGTAGAGCCCAGAAAGAATAGTGTGCATGTTGCCTTAAGCCCTCGTTCACACCTGAACATTTTGTAGTGCGTTCTACGCTCGACGAACGCTCTACAAAACGCTCAAACATCTAAATCCCATTGTATTCAATGGGTCTGGTTCACACCTTGGCGTATTTCAGCCCGTCCCTAACGCTACAAAACGGCCCACGCCTGAAAAGGTACAGGTACTACTTTGGGCTGTTTTTGTTGCGCGTTTCCATTGGGATACAGCCAAGTAGCCCTCGGAAACGCGCGTTTGTCGCGCGATTTTTTTTACCGTGGATCGCGGTAAAAAAAAACGCGCGACAGACGCGCATATGCAATACGCCTAGGTGTGAACCAGGCGTTAGAGATCAGTCCAGACAGCTGGAATATTTAGATGTAGCATTGGGCTTGGCACACCTGACATGTTCTGATATGAGTAGCTGAGGGTCCCGTGCACTGGGACAGGGGGAGTGACATTTAGGTGATTGGGCAGAAGTGTAACTGACAAGTGGTGGCACACTAATATTGTAATAGAACGTTGGGGGTTCTCGTAAGCAGTGACCGTCTGAGCTTTTCATATCAGAAAGAGACAACTGCATGTTGATCATTAGCACGGGACAAACTACAGTGACTTTTCCCACAGATACCTCTTCCACAGCAGGGAGGAGCAAATCCACATTTGTCCCACCTATGTATCACTAACTATCAACTCTGGCTCTCCAACGCCATAGAGCAATGTGATGTACAAATCAGAGGGGAGTAGTGGCCTGGCAGAAGCAGGGGGACAGTGGGGCCCTGTGCGGAAGGATGGGTGCCCTTGATCCCTTTTGTCACCTAGCTGGGATGTTGAGTGTCTGATGGTGCGCAGGGGTCAGGTGACGAGACCAGTTGTTTTCCTTGGTGATAGTGTTACTGGGGAAGATCCTTATGGAGGTCATGTGTGAGGCACTGCCAGTGTGAAAGTTGACTGACAGCATGCCGGGGAGAATTGCCGAAGTCTTGAATAAGAAGGGTCAACACTGCAATTATTGACTCTTTGCATAAACTTAATGTCATTGTCAATATTAGAAAGCCTTTGACACTAATGAAATGCTTGTAATTATACTTCAGTATATCATAGTAACATCTGACCAGAAGTTACTATAAACATTGAAGCAGCAGGCTTTGTGAAAATATTTGTGTCATTCTCAAAACTTTTGGCCAGGACTGTACAAGTCTTTAGAGCTTTCTGTGTATCTCTGTGGGACTGGCTTAAAATAACCACTGAAGGTGATGCATTGCCATTCCTTGTAATCACATTTCTTAGCAAGCAGTTCAGTGTTGTCGATATTGATCTATAC